TCTCAAATTGGAATTTCTTTTTTTGTATTTTACAGGGTTGTCTAGTTTCAAGCATCATGTGATTTGTAGGAAGAAAAAATTAGAAAGTAGTTTCCATAAAGGGGAACGAACTAAATGCATTCATTTATATGCCTCCTCATTCAAGTGGTGTGTTTCTAAAGACCCATTGTTAAGTTTTTAGACCTAAGTGTAACCTACCGGGAAAGCTGTTTAAGTGTTGACTTTTTTCTGGACATTTTTTCCCCAGACTCAAGCAGTGCAAATCACCCTTTAGGGGCTTTAAAAAAATTATTCAAATTGAGATCTAATTGTACTTTAACTTGAATCATTTTCCTATTAAAGTATTAAATTGTTTTATGTGTAACTTAGAGCACACTATGCCTTAAAAACTTACTTGAGTTAAGTTTTACCTTTTTTTGGTACGGAGGCAAAAATCTAGACTTACTTAAGTACCTCAATATGACATTTAGGGTCCCATTTAATTTTACTCTTCCTTCCTCGGCAGAGAATTTACACACCAGAAGCTTAACTCTTAATACACTGTTTTTTGAAAAGCCCTTTTGCATTTTGTGACTTTCTTTGTACCTCAGTAGTTGGTCCCCAACAGGATAATCTCTGCTTCTATTCTTGACAACTAAGTTTTATAAATTTACCATTTCTTTCTAGTAAGTTAAAAAAAATGCTAAGAAACGAGACCAGTTCGATGTGGCGTATGACCCACAGTTTAAGCTGTTTGTCATCCAGTCAGATATAGGTATGTCCGTGAAAGAGTGGAAACAATTTAATCCCTCTCATTGATGAAACCGAAAATACTTGTAACATCATTGTCGTCATTTTTATTATGTACTTTTAAGTATTTTATTTGTCCTATTCTAAAAATTACGAGGATATTTAAAAACTCTGGGTCTACACTTGTGCCAAATGCCCATTAAGTGGGCTCCCTATGCTGAAAGTTTTAAAAACAAATATAACACTGTATGTTAACTACACTGGAATTAAAATTAAAAAAAAAACCAACATTGTTATTGGAGCCACTGACATTTTAGAAATCAGAAGGTGATCTGATCACATCTGTGTTCCAGAAACATAACTCTGTTTGTCCCCAAATGTTGACTATATTTTTTGGTTTTTATCATAGGCTGCATTACAAATCAGTAAGCATTCTGTGTCTTATTTTCACAATAATATCAATGGACCTACGCCTGGCAGTCTGTATCATGAACATATGCTAGAGATTACAAATTTGGCACAAAGGGGAATTGTAATTAAATTAAATCTCATTTTAGTACAAGGACTGCATTGTAGCTACCAGACCTAGTTTTCAAAGGAAGTAAATTTACATGGAATGATAAAGTCCCTCCCCTAGATGTAACATTTGAAAAACACATGAGCTTACATCAAAAGTTACTAGAACTCGGTACCAGTCCTACAATTTAGTCACTGTACATTGAAGAACTATACATTTTATAAATACCAAAACATATACTATCTTGAAGCGTAAAATCATCTAGTGAGATAACATACATCTTACCAGATAATGTAAGTGAATTCCGCAGTTACCTTCAGAAACTACTGGTAGGATCCTGTTTAATAAAGAATGACTTTGAAGGAGGCTTATGAGTTTGGGCATGTTACACTCTTTGAGTAAGATAGACACACTTTTCTAAAAGTACAGTTGTGTAATGCAATCATACTTGGGCCACAAATCGCTTTTGATTTTCAAGCTTTGCAGTTCATTCACAAATACTATCAGTTGCCACTTCATTTTAATTCTTCTCATTAATGCTAGCTGAGTTCATCAAGAGACTGAGATGTTACGATAATGATGGACCGGACCCAAAGCACACAGGTTTCACGAAGTCCCTCACATTTCATGAGGTTTTGCTGTATTAACATTTCAGGATGCATCGGGCCCTAAGAAGTGATGAGAGTGATCACAACATTTCAGACCCCTACATTTAGGTCTGATTATTGGAGCACACTGCCTGGATTAATGTTTAACAGCAGCTGTCCTGCGGATTCACTGAGGAAGTTGTGAGATGGCTATTTCATTCTCCTTTACTCGACTGGCCTTATTGCACAGTTAATTAAGACCTGCTGGAGGATAGCCTTAGGAATAGGGCCTGGGAAGGGAGAGCCTTTTAAATAATGCAAATGTAGTAGTGCATTTATTTTCACAGCTGAAATAGCTAGTTTTACCCAGTTTGGATTAATGAGATCAGATTTGATGTTGCTTTCTGGGTAGAGAACTAAATACTATGAAACAACTCATGTTCTTGACTGTAATCTGAGCTTTTAAGGTACTAGGTGCTATTAAAGAGCTGAGCTTGTATAGTAAGTTCACATGCAGTTCCGTTTCCATAATTTTCTCTAATTATGACGTATACACAGAAAGACATAGAACATATGCATACAGTTTAAAGAATGATTATCATGTGGACACTCAGGTAACTACGGCTCAGATCAAGAAAAATTACCGGCATTTGGAAGCCCCACCCTCACCATGTGCTCCATCCAGAAGGCGACCCCCTTCCCCTCCTCTGGGTAGCTACCGTCTGTACTTTTGTCATTCCCTTGCTTCTCTTTGTAATGTGGCAACTTACATTTGCGCCCTAAAACGGCATAATGTAGGTTGGCCTGGTTTCAAACTTCTGTGGAGAGAGTCGCGCTATGTGTCCCTGTGTTTGGCATCTCTCACCCAGTGTCACATGTCTGAGGTTTCCTCCGTGTTTTTGCTCTCCAGGGCGTTTTCTTTAAAAAGCCTTTTCTGTATTTGCCCCTCTCCCTTTTTAACTTAGGATCCCCGTAACTCGCCTGAGTGCTCTCAGATAGCCCTACTTTGCCTCCCTGGATTTGCTGCTAAATAAGGTCTAAAGACTGAAACCTGCCTGCACCCCGGTTTTGTGAACTGACCTGGTGGCCCCCGTGGGACGGCCTTGGTTTAGATGAGACTACATCTTTAAGGCGCCTGTGCTCGGTTAAAAAAAAATCTTCCTTTCTCCAAGGCTGGTCCAAGGGTCTGGTCACGTGACTCCACCAGTGACATCACATTCTGACCGCCTGGGGAACACTGGTGGTGCCTTAGGTGGCATTTGTTCCTGCAAAAGGCAGAGAACGCAGCAAGTGCCCTTCTAAAGCAGTGCCTCCCGGGGCTCCTAGCAAAGCCCCGCAACCTAAATGGCCAAATGCGGGCTGCCCAGGTTATTTCTTCCTTGAGGCAGAAAAAAAGAAAGCTGTGATTGAAGGTAAGCCGACTTGAGCCCAGCCCAGGACCGAAGTGTGACCCCAGGGAGAAGGGGATCTGGAGAATCACAAGCAGTCTGTTTCTCGGCTTCTGATCACTGCTGGCTCTTTGCAGAGCTGCCTGACAATTTGCGTTGCTAACAGGAGACTATCTACAAAGAAGGATGATGCAGTGCTCATGTTACCTAGTGATGTAATAGGATTCTTTCCTGTTAGGAAGCTGTTGCAGAGCTTCATTTTTAATGTGTCCTTAGAGCCGGGGAGGGGGGGGCCTCCTTTGATACATCGCGTAACCTTAGATAGCTATTGGGTGCTTTTAAAAATCAGTTTCACCAAATCCTCTCTAAATTTCTCCTGAAAGGAGAGCCCTTGAATCAGAGCAAATTCATTTGGAGCATTAACCTGCTTTCAAAAGCCAATTTCTGGTTGTTTGGTGTCCTATGTTCATGTCAGCATTTGTCTTGAGAATTGAGACAGCTTTTTTTTTTTTTTTTCTGCCCCCCCCCCCACCATACTTTATTTTCTTTCTGTCCCCCTTTCCTAGCTGGCTCTTTCCCTCCAAGCTCTCAAACACACCGGCATTAATGTTTATCAGTATGCCACTGACATGATAGGAAACGCTGGGCTGGTGATTCAGCAGCCAACCATTTTACAGCCAGGTAGGTTCAAGATATGGAAAGGACTTTGGTTAGGGGGTTTTAAGATTAACTTGCTCCCCTCCTCCACTCCAGCCCCACCCCCACTCCCACCCTCAATATGATCTGGATTCTCCAGAGCTTTTCCTTTTAAATGTGTGTGCTGCTGGTGAAAGGTATACCAGGTGAGGTATTTGGAAGACAGTTTGTAAATCAGGTACAGCTTGGAGGTTAATTTCCACTTACCCTACTACAGTACTGAAGTCGTCTGTAGGAGTTTAGAGTGAAGATGGGGACGAGGCTGGGTGGGAGGGAGCTGGGTTTCAGCTCAGGCCCACTTTGGCCTCCTCTGCGGAGGGATTCATCACCAAACAGTCTGGATGAAGCTTTGTCCCTGCCAAGGTTGATGCTGCGAATGTGAGCTTTGGCTGGTTGAGTTCAATGATCGCATTACTCTGCATTTTTTCCTCAGCTCGCGTTTGCATAAATTCCTGAATACTGTTTTACATTTTGTGTTTAATAGAGAAATACTGTTTCACCAGAGGACGGTGGAAATATTTGGAACACGTTTGTCAAGCAATACTAAGTAACCTTGTGTGCGTACAGCTCCTGAGTTTGAATACTTCTTTCTCATCCCCACCATTCGGCAAATAAACTTTGATTCCGCTGATATTTATTGAATCTTGGCTATGTGTTAGACGCGAGAAGGCAGTGATGACTCAGATAGAGGGCTGCCCTCAAAGAGCTTCCGGTCTAGAAAGGAAGACAAAACATTTGCATAAGTGATTGTAATAGAAGCGCTGAAAGCAAAGCAGATAAAGGACTGCAGTTGGGCAAGTGGGTATGTTGCTTCCATTGAAGGATCAGAGAGGGACGGCCCAACACCAGGCTGTGCACTGGTCTTTGAATCTCTACTTGTAAGTCTTGGGCTGTTCTGACATTCTACAAGCCCATTACATCAGGGATCAAAGTCTTCCACCTATTGAAGGGAAATGTGTACATTCCAGCCAGCTTAACTCTTGAAGAGGCTGACTTGCTTTCTTTGGCATTCCCACTCAGGCAAAAGCCACCTCCCAGAATTGAATTACTGCCTTACACATGCAAAATGGTTTCTGATGTGATATGTCTGCAAAGACCTTTGGCCCTTTTGTCTCCCTTCCATAAAAGAAACTGAAAAACCTAAGCTGCTCCCGCGCGCTCCTGTATTTTGTTTCATAAATCCTTTCCCACTACACTTCAACTCCTGTCAGTTCTCCCCTTTGTACTGTCCTGCTCATCTGTCCCTTTCCATTTATACGGCCTGAAGGCACTCACCGTTTTGTGCCTAGACCACAGAAACCTCTAAATACGATGGATGTTCCCACCAATGATTATATTGCTTTATCAGCACACCCTAACTGTAATCATCCGATGGTGTAAGGACTCACCTTTTGGTACTTAGCAGGGAGGTATTAAAGTGTTTAGAGTGTCTGAGGCACTAATGTCTGTTTCCTGTTCAATACAGAGGACAGGTCATACAATGGTGGAGGAATAGGTTCTTCAAATAGGATGATGGACTTCTTGGAGGAGCCAATCCCTGGTGTGGGGACCTATGATGATTTCAACACAATTGACTGGGTGAGGGAGAAGTCACGGGACCGGGATAGGCACCGAGAGGTAAGAACAAAGATGGTACGTGAGTTAAGTGTCAGGAAGCACCAGGGGAAGAAGTTGAAGATACGTATTCTTTCCATGTGTGCTTTCCTTCAGCCCTGGATGTGGCTGAATCTGGTGTCTACTGGCAATGTACGGTTTTATTTTTTAACTTATTTTTATTTTTAGGGCATCTTGTATATGCTTTTAAGAATTTCTATTTAACGGTGATTTATCTTCCTATAGTAAAGTAGTTGGAAAGAATCCTTGCAGCCCTGACGTGAGTATAAGTGCCTAGCAAACAGGTGAAAACCAACTTGGTGGAGGGGACCGAAGTGCATTTCAGAGATCGTCTTCCTCGATCTCATTTCCCTTTTATGGTTTTCCCTGAAACAGGACTTTTAGAACTAAGAAAAGAAAGGGTGCTTCTTTCAAAGGAATAAAAGAAGAAAAAAAAACCCAAAAAACCCCAGAGCCCTGGTGTTTACTGAGGCCTACGGGATAAAGTCCTTGTGATTATGGCTCTTGAACAACCATAAGACAAAATGTACACATTCGACTCAAACCCACAAGACCAATCAAATTCAAAATTAAGGGCATTAATTAAATGTGATAGGTAGTAAGATGGCGCTCATGGCTATGACACAGATTCCTTTGAATTTGGTGAGAGAATTTCCCCACTTTTCTCTTTCCAGAGTCCCATGAAAACCTCTTAAAGCAGTCTGTCTTTAACTTGTTGCTGTGTGTCATTTAAATCAGGGAATCACAATTTCTAGCTCGCATCAGGGCCTCACGGAGAGCTTATTAGAAAGGGAGGGCCCTAGCCCCAGTGATCCGAATTCAGTGGGTCATCCTCTGGTGAGACATTCCTTCAACCAACCTTAGGGATGGTTCTTTTTTTCCTTACTATTTCTGCTTTGAGTCCAAATTTAAAATGTGATTTTTTTAAGTTGGTCCCACTCTCTCCCGTGTTCATGATTTACTTCTCTCAGAGCCAGGCAAGTCTCCTGAGCAGTCAGGGGCAGATCGCTTCGTATTCTTAAGCCATTTCCATCTCCTGACTGGTTTTCTCATGATCACCGGAGCCTCGCAGTCAGGTTGTCCCTGGGAGAGGCTTTGAGAAATTCCTGTGTAATCCTTGGATTTGTGATCATCTCACTGAATTTTCTATCCTAACTGAAAAGGGGGATCTCCACAAAAACACTCCATGTTTTTCATAAGGTTGCCACTGTTTGGAAACATGCACGCATACTCTATCGTATCAATTCATCAGACAGGCTTTAGAATTTCTGCCATCTGTAATTCAAAGTTCAATTTGTCATCACTTGCATATTCAGCATGTTATTTACATTGTGAAAGTCACCTGGGATACGACAAGGGCATATTTCCCACTATCTGAAAATGGTCACATCTGAGACACATTATGCCAATTAACAGTAATTCAAAATCAATTAAAATGTGTTTATCAAGTGATCAAAAGGGACTTTTTTTTTGCATTAAACTGTTCATCATCTGACTGGAAACACTGTCACAGAAAAAAACATCACCTCATGTACTTTCAGCACTAAAACTGGAAACTTAAAGTCATAGGTCAAGATGAATTTTTAAAATGCTTTTAAAATGTTTATAATAATTTATCATTATTTGTGATAGTGCTGTAGATGAAGATGGGGTAACGAAGTCACAGTTTCAAAGATAAGAAATAGAGGTGCAGAGAAGGGGGACAATGACAAAGCTGTCAGAATGCTTGGTTTTGAAATGTGGGCACTGAAGGGTTAAATTGAGGCTAGGGCAGAAGACCTTTCTGCACCTCTCGATTAGCCTCAGATATTCCCAGCAGGGTCTTTTTTTTTTTTTTTTTAAGATTTTATTTATTTGAGAGAGAGAGAGAGAGAGCATGAGCAGGGTGAGGGGCAGAGGGAGAGGGAGAAGCATACTCCCCTCTGAGCAGGGAGCCCGATGCGGGGCTCGATTCCAGGACCCTGGGATCATGACCTGAGCGGAAGGCATCAGCTTAACTGACTGAGCCACATAGGCGCCCTTCCCAGCAGGTTTTTGAAAATAGATGCATCCCTGATACCATTTAGTATCTGTGATCGGTGCGGGGAGCAAGTCTTGGAACTTGCCTGACTTGAAGCACAGCCCCGATAGGAAACCTCACACTGTACTTTCACCACTCAAATAAGCCCGTGTTTGTCGATTGGAAAAACAGTCAGCCTATTTGCCTGAGTCAAGAGACCATCCTTAGAATATCGGATGTCTGGGGCAGACAGAGACCACTGCAAAAAGCAAACCAAATTGAGGTGATAGAGAATTAGCAGCTGAATGGGGAATCCCTAAGGTACTTGGAGCCATTGCGATACTGCAGAGAAAGGTGGGGTTCAGTAAGACAAGCTTCAGTAAACCTCCCAAGTTCCCGATGAGGTCAGTTCACCCCGAGATTATTTGAGAAGTAACTCCAGATTGGTCTCTCTGCCTAATGAACAGATTTATCTTTGTATTTCTTTACTGTGCATTTTAAGGTGAAAAAGCAAGCGTGTGTATAGAGTGTACCAATTTTTTCTCATTTCTCCCTAGATTACCAATAAAAGCAAAGAGTCGACATGGGCCTTAATTCACAGTGTGAGCGATGCGTTTTCTGGCTGGTTGTTAATGCTACTTATTGGGCTCTTATCAGGTATGGTAAACTGTGTTTGTTTTCTAAACAAATCTCCTAAAACTGTGGTGTGCTCTTCCCCCAAGTCATGAACTGAGTTGAGTGCTGTGCTTTACGGTTTTCCTACATGAAATAAATTGCTGGTGGACCTTGAGGAAGCTCAATGTTCCCATCTGTAAAGGGATACTAATACTTGCATCCCCTTCCTTAAATAAATGCAGTTAAAAGGGGAAATGTATCTAAATGCATTTGTATGCTATAAAATATTGTATACATTTTAAGGCACTATTAGCACTGCCTTCCAGTGATTGTCTTGAGGAGGAGTCCTGCTAATAGAGACAATCAAGGTTTTTGTTGTTAAAGATTTTATTTATTTGAGAGAGAAAGACAGCACGAGCAGGGGAGGGGCAGAGGGAGAAGCAGGCTCCCCTCTGAGTAGGGAGCCCGACTGGGACTTGATCCCAGAACCCAGGACCCAGGGATCACGACCCAAGCTGAAGGCAGATGCTTAACCAACTGAGTGGTCTGTAATGCTTAACCCAGGCGCTCTGAGACAGTTTTTTTTTTTTTTAAACACATACTATGTGGGGTGTATAAGAGGAGATATAGAAGAAAGAGAACTTCCTGGGAGCTTTTTGTAGGTGTTTCTTAAACATCTGCTCTCTCATTTGGTGGTGAAGAACAACATAGAAGATATGGCCCATGCCCTCAAGAAACTTACAATCTCACTCTTTCATGCTGGTGGACTAGTGGGATGGTACTACCTCTTCCTGTCATCTCGTCAACCTCCCAAGCCACTCCAAATAATGCACAGTCTAAGTAGGAAGAGTGCCCTTGCTATGCCCATACAGCTTTAAAGCAAGCTTCCAGGCAGGCTTCCCCTCCCACTGGGGAAGCAGAAAGCCAAGAATACCCTGGCAGAGATACTAAGGGTTGTATCCTTAACGGCATTAAACGATGGGCCTAGGAGGATCTGGAATATTGAGCTGAAAGAGAAGTTAGGTGGGAAACCTGGAGGCAGATGGGATAAAATGGCCGTTAGCACGGGCTCTACTTTGTAGCTACTGGGACTTGAATCCCAGCCCTGGCACTTGCTAGTTTTGTGACTTTTGGCAAATTTCTTAACCCTTGGCAGCTCTAGTTTACTGATATATAAAATGGGGCTCGTAAGAGTACGCATAGTCCACGTTTGCTGTGAGGACAGAATAGTGGGTAGATGAGATCTAGCACGGATGGTGCTCAGCACGGTGCCCACAGTTGTTAACAACACCGCTGCTGCTGTTACCTGGAGAAGCGTTATGAGCCACAGAGCATAAGACGGTTGCTGCAAATGAAGAAAGGCTCAGCCATAGCTGGGTTTTCAAAGATTATCTAGGGAAGGGGTCAGCAGTGTTTTTTGGTAAAGGGCCAGACGGTGAATATTTTAGGATTTGTGGGGGCCCCCCCCAAAAAAAACTTTACTTGCAAGCATAGAGGCAGATTTGACCCCTGGGCCATAGTTTGCCAACCCGTGGTCTCGGGGCTTAGTACTACCCCTACAGGCTCGCACGGGAGAGAGAACGTGGTCTGGCCAGTCTAGAGTTGGCTAATGGTAGACCGAGTGGTCTGTAATGCTAAGTATTGCAGAGAGGCTGAAGGGAAGGAAAAGGTTACAGTTTAGCAGTTAGTAGGATACCAGTGACCTCGGAAAACTATCTCATAAATATCAGGAGTCAGATTTCAAGGGGAAGCAACCAGCGTAGAAGTTCCGGAGCTATTTGGTGGCCACTGGAAGGAGAGAAGGGACAGAAGCTTGGAACGGTAACGAGGACAAGGGAAAGCATTTTGTTCTGTAGGGTAAGGGAAACCTGATAAAATTTGTCACCGGGGAAGAAGGGGCCCATCGGGAAAAGAAGGCAAAACAGCAGGAGAAGGGAGGATAGGATTGAGGGTACCGGCATTAGGTAGAATAAGACAGGCTCACACGAAAACAGCCAGAGAACAAGCCAAACTCTGTAACACATGTCAATTTTCTGAATTAAGAGTTAGGATGAAGAGTTAGAAGGCTGGAGAAGGTGGGCGTGGCCGAGAGGAGGTGTCAAACAAGGTGTTAGATTTGACTAGGTTATTCAAGTATGTAAATAACCTCTGTTAACACTTTTAGCACCTACCCAAACATACACATGACATGGCCTCCAGCCTGTTGGAATGTAGGCGTAATATCCTCAACTTTTTAATGTATTTCTTGTCACTCGGTGGCCAGTGAATATTTTTCTTTCCCTCGAACACACAGGGCATTTTGTTTTTAAGCACCGCAGAGCAACAATAGAAGCAGTGTGTCTGAACGCAAGAACAGTCTGGGAATTCAGGGGCTGTGAATTTTATGGTGTCTTTGCTATTTCCCTAAAGCGTGATTCTAGACCATTTCATTTCTTTAGGCCAGAGTTTCTTTGTCTGGACGACAGAAATGATGAGAAGGCCAGAATCGAAAGTACTGTAACGATCTTAACCCTACCAGTCTGTTAACCATAGCACATAAGTCCCCATTCACTCTTCAGCTTCTCGGAATTGCCTTTGGTGGCTGTTCTGCAGATAATATTGTTTGCTCCTTTCTCACTACGAAAACTTCGAGATGTTCACGTGCGAGGCTCAGGAGGCTTCGACATGTCTGTAGCTTCATGTAACTTTTCCATGTGCTTTTTCAAGTTCATTTCCCTCAGCCTCGAATGCCTTCCTGCCATGGCTCAGGCTCCCTCATCCATGGAGCAGGATCGCTAACAAGGCTGAGCTCTCCTCTCAGTAGTCTTCGTCAGCTCCCTTCCCCCGGCCATCTCAGACAAAGATCATATAAGGGTCTTCAAGGCAGGCAATTCACATTTTCTCAGTCTTCTGTAAATAGTGAGAATAAAATGCTCTTTAAGAAATTTGATTGTCGGGGCGCCTGGGTGGCTCAGTTGTTAAGCATCTGCCTTCGGCTCAGGTCCTGATCCCGGGGTCCTGGGATCGAGCCCCACATAGGGCTCCCTGCTCTGCGGGAAGCCTGCTTCTCCCTCTCCTTCTGCCTGCCGCTCCCCCTGCTTGTGCTCTCTCTCTCTGTCAAATAAATAAATAAAATCTTTAAAAAAAAAAAAAAAAAAAAAGAAATTTGATTGTCTTCGGAGATCAGTATCCAGCAACTGTGAGGCAAAGCAGAGTCTTGGCCATGTAAATCAGCTAAAAGGCAAATCCACTCACCCCTTGCGCCCACCCAACCACTTTGCCCTCCCCCAAGCTCCCCTATGTAGAAATTCTACAGACACAGTGTTCAATGCAGACAGTGTTTTGTGGTTTTTTTTTTTAACCCCCTCTTGAATAGGCATTTATTTATTTTTTAAAAAAATATTTATTTATTTGACAGAAAGAGAGAGAGAAAGTGAGAGGGAACACAAGCAGGGGGAGTGGGAGAGGGAGAAGCACGCTTCCCGCTGAGCAGGGAGCCTGACGCAGGGCTCGATCCCAGGACCCCAAGATCATGACCTGAACCAAAGGCAGACACTTAACAACTGAGCCACCTAGGTGCCCCTTGAATAGGCATTTAATGACAGGCGAAATCTCTTGGAGGTGATAGGTGGATGATTTCCACAGCAGACAGACCATCAGAAAGAGTTTGCAGGCGGAGCTGGGAAGTTTATGGCTCGTCCATTATTTTGCTGCCATTTCCCTCGTTTTCTCTTGACAACTTTGGCCTTCCCTTCCCTTGCCTCAAATCAGGTTCCTTAGCTGGCTTGATAGACATTTCTGCTCATTGGATGACAGACTTAAAAGAAGGCATATGCACGGAGGGATTCTGGTTTAACCATGAGCACTGTTGCTGGAACTCCGACCACGTCACCTTCGAAGACAGAGACAAATGCCCAGAGTGGAACAGCTGGTCCCAGCTTATCATCAGCACCGATGAGGTAATGCATTGTGAAGATTTCCTTTCCAAACCGCTGGCTTTTATTCTTACGTTGACTGAATTTCTTATACTGTACTCACTGGCACTTGTGGAATGCGCCCCTCTTTTCCTCTTCATGGAAAGGGGGACCAGTGCCAGCTGCCTTTCTCTGTGGTGTAAGTGTGACCCTATTTCCCTCGCTTTGATGCTTTACACGGTGACTTCATGTTTTTGCGCATCGTAAACGGTCCCGGTGTTTCTCCTTAGCTGTTAGTGTGGGGTGTGATTGAATCTGTCTTTCTCTAATAATTTCAGTAAAAATGTCAGAGCCAGCCAACAGGGACGCTATAATTTCTAACAAAGACAGAGTGGCTTAAAAATGTGTCTGTTGTATACACTCCAGAAGTAATTTTCCCCTGAGCATTGCATGAGTACATTAAAAAAAATTAGGATACATTCCATATGAAAATAACAGAAACGCAGGAATAAAATTGCCAGTAGCCTTCTTTGGAGAATAAATCAATATTTTCATTTGTCCTTGTCTCCTAGCAGATATTTTTCACTGTAAAAGTAACTTTGTTTTCCAGTTCCTTTGCTCTCTGTTACCACTTGAGCTGTTTGTTAGATCTCTCCTACTAAAAACAAAAACACACAAGACAGAACAAAACAGCTCTCAATTCCCAGTTCCTTTCTGGCTTCCACCAACCAAAACAGGTACCATCTCAGGTCACTCCTCATTTACTCTGTTGGCAAAGTGACTGAGACAAGGCTAGGATATATATTTATACATTTAAAATGCATTTTTATTCCTACTTTGGTCCACAGATGATTTCAAATGGGGTGTGTGCATGTGCGCGTGCATGTGCACACACACACACACACACACAGTCAAGGGAAAAGAAGGATAGGAAAATAATAAAGTCAGAAATAAGAGTGTTTATGTACATAAATGACTGTACACATTGGCTTGGGGAAAGAGCTCAGTAAAAGGGTTAGATACATACCATATGTGTGAGAGGGTTTAGGTCTATTCTTCTCAAACTGGGCTAAAGTTGGTGTGCCAGTGGGTGGGTAAAAACCACAAGATAAATGCTGTGTGCCTTCTCAGAAAATCAGTGGGTTTTTTTTTGAATATTTTTTTCTAAAATTACCTTGGATTACAAAGGGGTGCAAAATTTCCATGTTTATTAAGATGAAGCAATCTCTGTTTCAGCTCTGCTCCTGAGTATCCTATCCTCTACCCTCTCTTCTAGATTAGGAGTACTTGGGTAGAAAAGTGTGAGAAGCCCTGGAATTTAGGGTGAGTGTGTGTGTGTGTGTGTGTTTGTTTGTGTGTGAGAGAGAGAGAGATTCCCTTGCCTTTTTTTATTCTTTTATTTTTGAAGTATAGATTCACAAGAGGTTGCACAGCAAGGGAGGTCTCCCATACCCTTCACCCAAGCCTCCCCCAATGGTGACATCTTCTATGACTAGAGGATAGTAGCAAGACAAGGATATGATCCACAGACTTTATTTCACCAACGTTACGTGCATAGATGTGTGTGTGTATGTGTGCATGTGTATGTGTGTATGCAGTTCTCTACAGTTTTATCACACGTGTAGATTTATGTAATCACCACCACAATCAGGATCTAGAACTATTGTTCCATCCCCGTAAGGCTCCCCCATGCTACCCCGTCATAGCCATTTATGTGTTTAAGTATTCCAACTGTGGCTTTCAAACTGGAGCTTGAGATTTGCTCAAGTGACACATTTCTCTGGCCGTCTTTTTTTTTTTTTTAATGAATGAAATCCTTGCCTGGAGAGTCTTCTAGATTCTAAGAGTTCTCCTGCCAAGAACTTAGCCTCCGGGTTTCTGGCCCTAGCCACTTTTAGCTACTTGCCTTTCCACTCCCTCTCCCTCTTTGATTCCTGCTTCTGGAGTCTTCTTCCTCCCTAGCTACATTTGAAAGGCCAAGAGAGAACAATTATTTATTCCTCTGAGGGACTAAAATAATGGAAAACTTGTGTCAAAGCTATAACTCAGGAGAAAAAAAAAAAAAAAAAACCCTGAGCAGTTTGGCTCTGCTTGTTTAGGTCAGTGAATTATTTTAATAATGTTTTACATTTTAAGAAGCCAGAAGTGCAGTGAGTTGTGTGTTTCATGTAATTCGAGTGAGTTTCAACTTCTCTTTTTATCAGTAAGCATCATCTCCTAATGTTCAAAATAGCTTTTTTTTTTTTTTTTAAAGATGTAACTATTTGCCAGCCCTTTATGTTGGTGACTCCTTATTAGTGGTCAAAATTATATTTATTTTCTGGCAGACTTCATTATCCTAGGAGGACAGTGTCACAAGTATGTTCTCTCCATTTTAAAAAGAGCTGTTGCTGTTTTATTCTTCGGATGAGCTGGCATCTCACTGGTTTTGTTCTATGGTCAGAGCCTGAAACTTTCTACTCGCATCTGCTTTTTGCTGAGTCTGTGACAGCAAAATTCTCTCAAAGATGTGGTGGCTCCCTATAGAACGGAACTGTGTATTTGAAGAAAAGCGCTCAGGAATTTTTGACACCATAACCCCCTTGAGAATTTGACACCAGGGCAGGTAGAGCTGGTCTTCACTTCAAACGCGTAGCCAAGGTTCGGCCGTTCCAGTAAGAGAGCTTTCAAGGCTCTTAATAAAATCGACATAAAATCAGGTCTGTTTGACCACAGAACCTGCCCGAGGTCTCGTACTGAATGTGAGTTTGCTTCGGGTTTTGTTTGTTCTTCGTTCTTGTCCATCCTTAGCAGCTGGCGTCAGTTTTCCTTTGCGGGGAGCAAAGCCTCTCGTTTTCAGTGCCAAGTGGGCTGACAGAGTTTCAGGGGTCGCCTTTGAGCGATGTGATACAGGTTTTTCCCCTTCCCGAGCCCCTCTCCCGAAACCCTATTCCTCCTCAGTGCTGCGTGCCTCACTGAGGCTGCCAGGGCTAAAACAAGCTTCTTTCTTTTTCCCCTGTTCCAGGGAGCCTTTGCCTACATAGTCAATTATTTCATGTACGTCCTCTGGGCTCTCCTATTTGCCTTCCTTGCCGTGTCTCTTGTCAAAGTGTTTGCGCCTTACGCCTGTGGCTCTGGAATTCCTGAGGTGAGTCTCTCAAACGGTTTATAAATGGTTAACGGTAGTGAATCCTTCCTGGTTAAAAGCCTTTAATAGGTATTCCAGCCTGTCCTGCAATTCGAATATGAAACAGGATCAGACCCGGAGGAAATCTGGGGTCTCTCTAGGTCTTCCCTCAAGTGTCCCAGCCTGGGCCACCTGGACACGAAAGGGGGTGGATTCCTAGCCCCGTTGTGGGTTCCTGGGGAATCAGGCCCTTTGAAGGCCAACCCCTGCTCCCTACCCAAGGAGATCAAGGGTAGATCCCAGGTTTCTGGCCGGAAAAAGTAGTGGTATTGTCAACTTTGTTCGAGCAGGAGAAATAAAACTATTTTGCTACATTTCCTACAGTGTGATTCGGGCTTAGAAGGAGGGTGGCCGAAATCCTGTTTCTAACTACTTTTGGCTTAGATTGCTTGACAGTGACCGAAACCACTGAGATTTGAGGTTACCCAGACGACCTTGCCCCTCTCTGTTTCCTGACCAAGTCATAGTTACAAATTTCTTTGGCAGAGAATCAAGGCTCTACTGGCCTGTAAGGATGTAAGTAAGGAAAACACCCTCCCACTCTGCCTCCCCTTCTCTGATATACACACACTGTCATGCTTGCAGTACTCCCTTGCCCAGCTAGCACATGGCGGGAGGGTGGGGGTGGGGAAAGGAACTTGAAAGCTTAAAGAACAGTTCTTGCTTTCTTGGGCTCTCGGGATCCCTCCCAAATTGGGGTCACGTAGGTCAAACATTTCTATGTCACTTGTACGAAAGGTGCAGTTTCCATAATGAGGTCCAGATTATTGCTGCCCAACCTTGTTTACTTGCTTGGTCTATATTCAATCTCTCTGTGTTTGACCTGCAGATAAAAACTATCTTGAGCGGTTTTATTATTAGGGGCTATTTGGGTAAGTGGACCCTGATTATCAAAACCATCACGCTGGTGTTGGCCGTGTCATCTGGCTTGAGCCTGGGCAAAGAGGGCCCCCTGGTGCACGTGGCTTGCTGCTGTGGGAACATCCTGTGCCATTGTTTCAACAAATACAGGAAGAATGAAGCCAAGCGCAGAGAGGTAATGACAGATGGCCCGAATTGTCTCTTTTTTGGTGAGCATAAGTGGTACGATCTTAGGGATGAGGATCTGGGGACTCGACCAATGTCAGTACAAATACCCTTTGACCCAGTGGTTCCACTTCTAGGAATTTTTCCTACGGACACCCCAGTGTGTGTGGGAACCAAGGTATGTGTGTGGGGCTGGTCGGTGCAGCATTTGTCAATATCGCAGTAAAACGAAACAATCGCAAGGTCCATCAACAGGGGAGCGATCAAATCAACGATATTCTGGCCGTACTATAGAATACTAGGCAGTCGTTAAAGAAGATAGCCTTACGTATATTGACGTGGAATGATGGCTACAAAATAGCATTAAGTTTTAAAAGCCAATTTTGGAATGATGCATGTATAGAATAACTCAGTTAATGTTTTTTTAAAAAGTATGTATATGTGCACCTAGAAAGAAAATGTCTGGAAAGTGGTTTTACTCCAAACTGTTGAAAATGTCCACCTGTGGTGAGCAGGAAAGTGAGGTGGTAGTGCGGGAGAAGTAAGGACTTTAACTCTAAGAACCTTTATTACATATCACTCTATACAAGTTGTGCTGTTTTATAACAAAATAAGTTTCAAAAATAAGAGCAGATTTTTAAAAGAAGTCATTTATTCCTGTGAACGAACATAAGCTCCACATGTGTTTCAGGTACCAGCTTTTCCATCTTTTATTTCTACCTAATGCCACACTGAATGAGTTTCTCTGTGTATAGGATTTCTGTCTGCCTTCCGCCTCAACCCAGCTAACAGCCCCCCCCCACCGCCTCTCTGTAGCTGTTCTCACGTTCATGCGGTTCTTAATGTATATCATTTTGCGGAGGAAGAACAGTTTTTAGAACTGTCCCGGGTCATTGGTTACTTTTATCCTGCTGTAATTAAGGATTTAAGAAAACAATGGTTCTTGCTCCATTTTCCTTGAATTACACAGAAATCACATAGAAAATGGGTCAAGGCCAAGGTCATTTCATTAGAACGGATTTTTCACAAAATTGGAACCCAGTGATTTATTCAGAAAACAAACCAAACCAAACCATAAGGCCCAGAAGGAAACTCAAAAATGTTGAGATTTCAAATATGGAATCCATTTTGATAGTTCAAGGGGGAAAGTTCCTGGCAGGAGAGGAAGGTTAGCAGGAAAGGGAGAGGGAAGTTGGAGTCGATTGTGTAGCTACCTGTCAAATGGCAGTGGGGCATAAAGGCAGTGTGAAACTGGTGAGGTTGTTGGATGGGAATAAGGTACAACAGAAGCTAAAGAGATGAAAAAACCAGTTTAGCTGGCAAGAGTAGAGTGTTGATTCTTGCTGGTTTTGCGTGGGTAGCGGGACTTCGAAACTATAGATTGCCGGTTTCTTTTATTCCATAAAATTGGCATTTTTGTTCAGACAGTTCCTTATAAAATGAGAGGGGAGTTCGGGCTGTTTCCCTGTATAGGTGTCCTGTGTTTCTCTAACTAGACTCGTGAATATTTGCATCTTGAGTTCACTTCCTATGGTTTATTTAGACTTTCCAGTTATTTTTTCCTGTCCTTCTCACCAACGGCAGCAACCCTTTTGTGTCCCAGGGCCTTGTCAAAGTGCGCAGATGGTTGAGATTACAGATTTGAGAAGGAAGGGCATAGACAGACTCCACTCTGTCAGCAAAAACTTGAAGCAAACCTGCCATCACGGTTCTTTCTTTTTCCTCATAATTCATCCTAAAGAGTCACTGAGATCCTCTTGTTTGACTGTCCTCGTTCTTCTCAGATGAAAGCCAGTATATAGGCACGAATTTCGAAGGCCTCCGGGGCTAGCCCCGGAGACCTCACTCCTTCCTCCCCTTCATTTTCCTGGGCCATCCTGCGCTCCCAGGGAAACCTGCCTATTTATTTTGCCAAGAACCACTTTATGCTTCAGAAGCTCTTCGTTTTCATTGAACTTTCTTTTAAAAATTTCCTTACTACCACAAATCACGTGTCACTCCACAGCAACCAGAATCCAATGAAAGGACTTTATCCTTCTGTTAATTCTGGGGTGTTGGTCATGCGTATTCTCCATGCGCATGAGTGTGCCTACATACTGAGGTTGAGCTACGTATCACTCGCTCTCTTCCTCTACCTCCTTGTCCTTTTTTATTTCCCTCTGACAGCTTCTTCCCCTTCCTCTTCCTCTCCCACCTAGCCCTTTTCCTTGCCTCACCGAAACACGCTTGGGTCTTCTCTTCCCTTCAGAGTCTATCCCCTTGCTTCTCGTTGCTTCTAGTTTGCTCCCAATTTCTGTTTCCACCGGTCACCAGGCACCGAGAGGGGCACAGAGTACAGGAACCCCCAACTACCCATTGCATGAATATTTGCAACTCCTGAGTAGCTGTGAGCCAGTTGTTACTTCAGTTTTGTATCATGACAGCCTTCTCTGAAATCTCATTTAAAAAGCATTACTTAATAAAGAAAGCGCTATGTAAATATATCACTGAAAAGACTTCATTTAGGTAGTTAATAGGTCTACAGACTCAAGTTCAGTTAATGAATTGAGAGTACTGGGGATGAGGGGAATGATTCGGAATAAAGTACATGCCTGGATTAATTACACAGGAAAGACCCTCTACCTGTTCCAGCATTTGAACCATGCGTTTGAAATGTAGCCTGCAACGTTTGCTCTCAAAATAAGTAAATATGAATTGAACTTCATTTTTGATCAACTGGATATGGAGCACGTATAGTTGGGGTTTTTTTTTTTTAATGTTTAGTAAACACTAACATTCCTTTTTTAAAACGTGATCGACGGTAGAAAGGTGTCATTATTCCAACACTAATTTTGAGTTTTGGATTGTAGGTCTTGTCGGCTGCAGCAGCAGCTGGTGTATCTGTAGCCTTTGGGGCACCAATCGGCGGGGTGTTATTCAGCCTAGAAGAGGTAACTACTATTTTCTGTCTCTGGAATATGTGTGTGTTGCTTTCGTGTCAGGAATCCTGGCCGGTGTCTTTGGGACATTGCGGACCGGAAGTGCTCCGCCCGACTCAGCGGGTTACCATTTACCGTGTGACCAGCGCTCTCTGGGCAGTTCTTCGGTCCTCAAAGAACTGCAGCAGCGACTGTTCACCTGAAACTGTTTCTGCATCCTGGTTTATGTTTGCTTTCTCACCTTCTTTCTTCCAGGTCAGCTACTATTTCCCCCTCAAAACGCTGTGGCGCTCGTTCTTTGCTGCCTTGGTGGCAGCTTTTACTCTACGTTCCATCAATCCCTTTGGCAACAGCCGCCTGGTTCTATTTTATGTGGAGTTTCACACCCCCTGGCATCTCTTTGAGCTCGTGCCCTTCATTCTGCTGGGCATATTTGGTGGTCTGTGGGGAGCTTTGTTTATCCGCACCAACATTGCCTGGTGTCGGAAGCGTAAGACCACTCAGCTGGGCAGGTACCCTGTCGTGGAGGTACTCGTTGTGACAGCCATCACTGCCATCCTGGCTTTCCCCAATGAATACACACGCATGAGCACAAGTGAGCTCATTTCTGAGCTGTTCAATGACTGTGGCCTGCTGGACTCCTCCAAGCTCTGTGATTATGAGAACCGTTTCAACACAAGCAAGGGGGGAGAGCTGCCCGACAGACCGGCTGGTGTGGGAGTCTACAGTGCCATGTGGCAGCTGGCCTTGACACTCATACTGAAAATTGTCATCACCATATTCACCTTTGGCATGAAGGTGAGCACATCCTTTTGATACTTGGTGGGTAGATGTGTGGCTGTGGGTTTTGGGGGGCAAAGCCAAGACACCATACAATCTTCAAAGCTCATGTGGCATTTCCAGCTTCATGTAGCATTATCCCCCACCCTCAGAAGCCCTCACCACCACCCCCCACGTGTCCTCATAACTTCCTAGACAGTTGTACCTCTACCAAACATCATCCAAGCCTAGTTTTAGGCCACATGCAAACCTCAGTGATGAGATTTAAGGAGAAATGTGTTCTCCTTTCCAGAGGAAAACAGATTTTGCCCCTCAAAAGGGATGGTGAGGTATTTATTCATGCACATTTTGTATTAAAACAATGTCTGACCACCACATTTTTGGTCATTATAGGGTGGCTTTAGAGTTTGCCAATAGAGCAAAATATCAAGTTGAACCAAATGAAGTAGCCATTATTCAACCATTTTGACCCTAAGATGGCAGTGTCCTACGGTTTGGCCCAGTGTGGCGCTAAATGCATTCTATACCATTGTCATCAGTGCCCAGGTAGCAGGAACTTCACAGGTGATCCCAAGTTAATAGTGCAACTGTCAGAAGCAGATGTCGGGCCAGCATCTTTTATTTTTGGTACCTGTTACCATTTCCATGTTTCAGAAGAAATCAGAAAGGAACATTCGTTGAGGTATTTTCTTCCTCCTCCCTAGGCTATTTGTTTGTCTTTTCTTTAGCACCCACCTACCAAGTTAGTTCCCTCTGTTCTCTAGGGAAACGGAGATTCGAACCAAAAGAGAAGACTCCACAGCTCACTTTAGCCGGTACTATAGTCTCCGAATTGATAACGCATCCTCCTCGACACCCCGGAAGGTTTTACAGTGCTTCTTGAGTGATTTTTTTTTTCCCCCCGTCGTGGCTTCGTTCTTTCATTTAAAGTGAATGTTCAGACCATCGGACCCACCCAGATTCATATGTATTCCACAATCAAACACAGGCTATTTAAAAATAATCTGCTGTTTTATTTTGTCCTTGTCATCATTTCCCTCCCTTCACACAGAACATTGAGAATTCACTGTATATATCCCAGGAGTCAGGAAATAGAGCGGAAGACCGACGAGAGGGTCTTTTGGTGGTGGTGGCAGTGGGGTTTTTTTGTTTTGGATAGTCACGCAACCACAGTTACTACCTCATTTAAAAAATGTCATCATTTCGTCTTTCTTTATACCGTTACAAAATAAAATGTAACTTCGTGTACAATCCTTTTAATGCGAGCAGTAGGTTAAGATTCAGTATATGGGAGTGGTTAGGAGCATTGCGTTTCATCCCCAGCACTGGTATTTACTGTATCTTGACCTTGGGTGAGTTACTTCACCTCCCTGAACCTTGAGTTCTTTGTGATTGGGTAATCCTAATGCCTGTCCCCCCAGGGGTAGTTGTCAAGAACTCGGGGAATCCTGTCAGTTGAGTATCCAGCATAGAACATGGTATATAGTCAATAGAGGGGAATTGTTGCTAAGAATTCAGAATTGGGGAACATGTCTGCATGTATGAGAAACTCCATCTATTTTCCTTTTTCTTTGGGAAAGGCTTAATTTCTGCCTCCAGTTCTGTGTTGGTCTGGAGAGTTCAGGCTCTTGCCTGATGGACCCCGGATCAGGGTAAGCTTCTCTGCAGTCGTCCTTGCCTGCACGTCCCCGAGAACCTCTAGCCCCTGTAGCGTTACACAAGTCTTTACGGCCACTTGCTAGCATAGTGCATAGTTAAATTGTCATTTGGCCTGTTCGCTTCGCAGAGGGTCAGTCCTCTAGCCCTTACCACGTGCCAGGCGGGCGCATCATTCCTCCCTAAGCACCCGTTGCTTTCTCTTTGCAGATCCCTTCTGGCCTGTTTATCCCCAGCATGGCTGTTGGTGCTATAGCAGGTCGACTTTTGGGAGTGGGGATGGAACAGCTGGCTTATTACCACCATGACTGGGCCATCTTCAACAGCTGGTGTAGCCAGGGAGCGGATTGCATCACCCCCGGCCTGTATGCGATGGTTGGGGCTGCAGCCTGCTTGGGTGAGTGGTGTCTGCATTGGGTTTGAAGAAGTTGCCACCCAGGTGACATCATGAAGAAGCATGATATGAAACACAGTTGACTGCAGATTGATTTATTTTTTTTAAACGACCATCCATTTCCTTTTGGGTTTGCCATTTTTCAAGTGCTTTGGAAGCATTCTTTATCATATAGCTACATTCCTCCCTTTGGGGAGCAATTTTACTCTCAAATTTCATCATGCTAAGGAAATGATCAGAAACGTGGAGAAGGATATCTGCCCAAGAGTGTTCATCACAGGATTATTTATGATAGCAAGAAATTGGAATCAACTTAAATATGCACAGGAAGGGACTGGTTCAGTGGATTATGGTCCGTATAACCTTGTAATGTTATTCTATGTAGCTATTAAATGTGATGCTGATATTTAACATCTTTAAATATAATGTTAAATAAATTTGTGATAATATCCAAGATGTTTCTGACATAAAGTGGGGGGAGGGGAGCACAGTGGGGGAATTAAACGTGTAATAAGAGCTCACCTACATAAAAACATACATTTTTACGTAGTGAAAATCTTGAAAAAGTCATTAAAAATTTTCACTCTGCTTAGTTCTAGGCAGTGAGCTTATGGGTAATGACTTTCTTTTATAGACTTTAATTTTTTTAAAAAGATTTTATTTATTTGTGAGAGAGAGTGAGCAGAGCACAAGCCAGGGGGGAAAGGCAGAGGGAGAAGCAGGCTCCCTGCTGAGCAGGGAACCCGATGCGGGGCTCGATCCCAGGACCCTGGGATCATGACCTGAGCCGAAGGCAGATGCTTAACCGACTGAGCCACCCAGGCACCCGCCCCGTCTTTTATAGACTTTAAAGCAATGTGTTCTGACTTTTCCATGATGGCCTGTACGTTCCAGAGAACTCTCGTCTCAGTAGTGTTACACAAATTGTGGGTATCTTCTGCAATGACCTTTATAATTAGGGGGGGAGAAAGCAACGCATGAATAAGAAACAAAAGGAGAAAAATGCAGAAGGCCTCTTGTGCTTCTGTAGATGTTATTTTGAGAAATGTGACTCATGTCCATTATAAACTGGCTGTAATGCAGTTGCAGTTACAGGGGAGCCCCCATCTTAGCAGTGTTTCTGGTAAGTAAGCTTTCCCTGGATGGGGGTCTGTCGCAGGCCCTTATCTGGCATGAATCTGAACTTTTCCTGTTTTCAGTGGCCTGTATCTGTTTCTTTGCAGGTGGGGTGACCCGGATGACTGTTTCCCTTGTTGTCATAATGTTTGAACTAACTGGGGGCTTGGAGTACATTGTGCCTCTGATGGCTGCAGCCATGACAAGCAAGTGGGTGGCAGACGCTCTTGGGCGAGAGGGCATCTACGATGCCCACATTCGTCTCAACGGTTACCCCTTTCTTGAAGCCAAAGAAGAGTTTGCCCATAAGACCCTGGCAATGGATGTGATGAAACCCCGAAGAAATGATCCTTTATTGACTGTCCTTACTCAGGACAGTATGACCGTGGAAGATGTAGAGACCATCATCAGTGAAACCACTTACAGTGGCTTCCCAGTGGTGGTGTCCCGGGAGTCCCAAAGACTTGTGGGTTTTGTCCTCCGGAGAGATCTCATTATTTCCATTGGTAAGGATTTCCGAAAGAGGATCATGGGATCCGCTGTGGAAATAAATCAATACGTGTCAAAGGGGGGAAGACAGAGGGAGGACGGGATGAATTAGGGGCCCTCAAGATAGAACAAGCACTTCCATTTTCAACTTTTTTTTTTTCTACTTCTCACATAGAAAATGCTCGAAAAAAACAGGATGGAGTTGTGAGCACGTCCATCATTTATTTCACCGAACATTCTCCTCCCATGCCGCCCTACACCCCGCCCACCCTAAAGCTCCGGAACATCCTGGATCTCAGCCCCTTCACTGTGACTGACCTCACGCCCATGGAGATTGTTGTGGACATCTTCCGCAAGCTGGGACTGCGGCAGTGCCTGGTGACGCACAACGGGTGAGGGCTCCTTGGGGGAGGCACGTTGGGTTGTGGGAGGAAGGAGACCGTAGAGAGAGAAAGAGAGAAGAACCCAATTCATTTGAATGTTAGTAGCACTTACAGGCCCTCCTGAAGCTCCGTGATGAAGATGGATGTGTTTCTTTTATCGTCATAATTAACGGAAAAGGGGTTTGGGGGGAAAAGTGTGTTTGAGAGATGGGAACTGCTTGCTGCACATTGTAAATAATGCAGTTCCTCCCCCGCAAAGGAAACGGCTGTGTCCTCTTGAACAGACAGCACTGAAGTTATGATGGTATTACGTACTATATGTATATATAGTATTTGGTCCTTTTAGTACCTTTGTTGTTATTATTTGAGGATGAGAAAAGCAAGTTTTGGTGAGGTTTGAAGATCTGCCCAAGGGCCCCCCATTAATATATAGTAGAGGTAGGCTTTAAACACAAGTCTTCCGACTCTCAAGGCCAAGGCTCTTTCTTTCTGGGACATTTCTTTATTTTATTTTTTTCTTAATTTAAAAAAAAATTCCCCCCCCCCCCCGGGACATTTCTTATGCAGTAAAGGAAGCCCTGCTATTTTTATTGGAAAAGAAGGGAGGTGGCGGAGGAGGGTGGATTTTTTTTTTCTAAGCATGCTATGTTAATCCAGCAATTATGTAAGAATTTCACTCTCTACAATTTATAAATGTTGTAACAGATGTCTTGCAGGATTTGAATCAGCAAGGGGACTTTCCCTAACTGATTCATTCAGCATTTACCGAATCCCCTATTTCGTGCAAGAAGGTATTCCACTAGACGCCAAGGAGACACAAAAAAGGAATAAGGCCCTTCTCCCTGCTCAAGGAGCACGCAGTGTCATAGGGAATCTGAGATCACATGAGCCCGTGTCACACGACAGCAGACAGGACAGAGGCATAGGTCAGGCCGTTGCTGCCAGGAGGACGCAGTCATTGCTGGCCCGCAGGATCAGGGGAGGCGTTCTGGAAGAGGAGTGCTTGAACTGGGTGGCAAACGAGAAGATTCAGACATATAGGGAATACTTAAGCCACAAGAAGTAGCAGGATGCGAGACCCGAGGTAGAAATACTGGCCGCCTGTCTGGGGACCCACGCCCAGTCCCGTTCGCCTGGCGCACGTCACCTGGTCCCAGTAGCGCCTCATGCTGTACGCGCAGACAGCGTTGAAGACAGAGTTGCAAAGGACTGGGGTGGAAAAGCGTCCCCTCGCAGGATGTTAACCACAGGCTTATTTTTGTTTTGTTGTCTCGTTTTGTCTTTCAGGCGGTTGCTCGGAATCATTACCAAAAAGGACGTGTTAAAGCATATAGCACAGATGGCAAACCAAGATCCCGACTCCATTCTCTTCAACTAGAATCACAGGGTTGTGCTGGATATAAAACAGGAAGGACATTGCAGACCATGGATGTATTTTGTTAACTGGGTACCCAAAACACATTTCCCATATTTGGAGGGTGAAGTTATATTAGTGTGTTGTCTCTTTCCTATAAGTTAACCAGTTGCACTACATAATCTCTGGAATTTAATCTTCTCTTTAGGAGAAAATACAGTTAGGCTTCTGTGACACTGCATTAGGAAGATTTCGTGAAAGAGTCAATGAGATTGCTCTGGTTTGATTCTTCTTAAATTTTTTTTTTTTAATTTAAAACATAATTGTTAGCCAATATGCAATCACTGAAAACTATGCAAGAAAAATTCCAACCGTCCTGACCTATAGCCTGCAGGAAACTCATGAAAAAGTCACTTTTTTGGACTCTTAACTGTCATTGGTGGAAGATGAAGTGTAAACTAAGGGGCTTTGCTTTTCCAACCACAGAAAGGAAGGCCAGAAGGAAAATAGTAATGGTGTTTTCCAGACTGTGAAAATTCAGTTCAAATGTTATCTTGTTCCTGTTACAATATTTAGCATTATTAGTTTGTGTGTGTGTACGTGTATGTTAATTTTAATATCTGATTATAAGACAATGCTGCTTTGGTTAACCTTCTCTAAACGAATTTAGAGAGGTTGACTTTTATAGCTTGCTTGTTCCTGGTACTCTTTTGAAGTGCACAAAGATAAGTTATGGAACTTTCTCCTTGTCTGCAAAAAGGGTAATTTTCCAGATGGTATTTGTTAGCTGGTAGACAAGGACTTCACCATGAATTTGTTAGTAGCAAGGAATGATTTCTCCAGCTTCCTTGGAATGAATGATTAGTAAAGTTCTAAGCAAAGTCAATGACAAGGAATTTCACATTTTTTGGTGAGGTCCCAACTAATTCTCTTACCCAGATGCCACCTCCATGAGTGATGGTGCTTTAGGCTTCTGGAATATGTAAGAATAGTAAAGGGAACCAAGTCTAGACGGTGTATTGATAAACCAGGGAAGATCCCGAGCTGAATCTGCATTCTCATGCATTCCTTCGTAAAGACCACCAGTACTCAAATAATTGGGCACTCATGCGTCCTCCCAGTGTTAAAGTACATGTAACAGGCCAGTGTTGTCCCTGTGAACAGGAATTTAGGCTTGGGGTACTTTCAAATCTATTCGAGGCATTGGAATTAGGATAGGCGGCTGCCACTCCCTTGAGGCTCGTTAGAATTCTGAATAAAATGCAGAACCATCCTAAGACCCAGGGGTGTGGACAAGGCCTGGTGACACCAAAGGTGCTTGTTTATCCAATTGCAAAGGTGCCTGTCTCAATTTTCTACCACCTTTCCTGCAGTAGAAAACATCACACCATAGGGACAGCTGGTGGAATCACGGCGCCACCACCGTCATCCCCACCGACGCCCGGTTTCATTTTCTATTGTTTTCCCCATGTGCGGCTGCTCCCCACCCCCATGTTCCCCTCCATTCTTTTCCCCTCCCACTCCTCAGTCCCGACTCCTCTCTTTGGGATTGAGCGCCATGCCTGGTTAATCATTCCTCTCTCAAGAAATAACTCCCGGGGCTAGTTAAATTGTAAACCGGGGCTCAGCAACCTTCTGGCACATGGACCCCCGAGGTAACACACAGCCATTTGCTTTGCTCTCTCGCCCAGTTGCTGCTGCCAGGCCTCCCTCCCTTTCTGTGCTGATGCCCAGTGCCCGTAGCAGCAAGACTCAACTGCAGGGCTGTGAGTTCAGCCTTTCCTGTTCTACAGGTCTGTCCGCCTGCACTTGGCACCATCCTTCCAGCCTGGAACCAGCAGTCGCTCAGCGTATCCTCCCCCGCCCCCGCCTCCCCTCCCCGAACACCTCAGGGTGCCTCATCTTACCCCCTGCTGAGCCCTGAATCTAGGATTTTTTTTTTTTTTTTTACCCCTAGTTCTTATCTTCCCCAAATCTGAAGATCTTTCATTGCCCAGACCTGGGTAGCCAAGGCTTGTATTGATTTTTATCTTTCAAATATCAAGGCACTCACCAGAGTTTCGTTTCGTTTCTTTTTTTTAAGTTTATCACGCTAACATTTTAGTGAAAGAGAAAAAAGCTCTCTAGGTTGTCTTCTCTTAGAGTCATGACTCAGTCACTCTATGTCTTTTGTCCCTTCCATGCCACTGACTTCCTCATATGGGATGAGGCCGTGGGCCGGACCGCCCCTGTGTATTGTGCAGGAGTCATTCTTATCTGTATATTTCTGGTTCACTACCTATCTTTTCTTATTAGCCGTCCAGCTAAAGTTTGCAAAACAGGAAGCGTCAGTATTTCTGGTATTTGATGACAAAGGTTTGGTCGCATTTCATAGTGCAGCGGCGATATGGAGGGCGTCTAAGTTTGCCTTTGTGTTTCTTCTAGGCTCTGTTTTTGATTTCAGACAGATGAGCCAGTGTTAAGGTGCTACTTCAGAGAATTAATTTGAGAAATCAGATAACACTGTGCCAAGGTATACTTTCCAGATGCTAAGCACCGATTGGCCCTCCAGAGAATAATATCCTTTTGATACCTCACTCCTGATAAATCTCATTCATTAACCTCAGCTTCTCAGGAATCCTTGTAACACATAGGCTAGAAGTAGCTATACTGTATGGTATTCATTAGATGTCTGATCCTATGGTTTGGCCCAAAGGTTGGCTAATTGTGGCTAAAGCTCTCTGCTAGACTGCTAGCTCAGCACCTAACACTCAAGGGTTTCTTGTCTTCAGGCAAAGGAAAATGTTCTTTCTGCCATTGCAAATTCAGCAGTTGGACAGACTTACCCAACAAACAAAGCCGATACAGGGAGGCCCGTTGGTAGCCTCAAGTGGCCACATACCTCAATGGCAAAAGACGAGATGATCTGCGACCAGTGTGTTTGGGCGTTAAGAAAAGAAAATTGCCCGACACAAGGGAAGGATCTACAAAAGAATGCCAGTGCATGCTTCAAGAGACTTAGGATTTGCGGAAGAGAAAGATCTGGGACACATCCAGTCGTGAGAAGAGTGGGAGTCGGTAGGTTTGTAGGGGTCTAGCTGCTATACTTTGTAGAGTCAGATCTTCAATGTAAAGAATTAAAAGAGGCCGAAACAGTTAATGCACAGTTAGACCACAGGACGGAGGAAGCAAGGGACCGAGAATGCAAACTAATGGCCGCTGTCAAGGTCATTTCTTTTCGGATGTTTAGTCGGACGCTCTCCTCTTTTCTGGCCCCAGCTTCCTTCTGGCTCAGACCAGCTGTGCAGTAGAGGTGGCATAACCCTCAGAACTGATATCCTCTGGTGGATAATCTGACATTGATGACACTTCGGATTTGCCAGCTGGCAGAGCAAACGATTAATTTGCTGATTGAACGGCAAAGTGGTTCAGTTGTTTTGACATCAGAGGCGGAATCTGAACCCCTTATGGGAAGAGCAGAGCACAGCATAAATTTCTCTAGCAAGTCTCCATTTCCGTTGGAACATGAGAAAGATAAAGTAATGGGGATTTAGTGTGGTCTAAGGCTGTGAAGTAATTCTTAGCCATGATCTTTTTTTTTAAAGGAGGGGAGGGGCAGAGGAGGGGAGAGAGAGAGAGAATATTAAGCAGGCTCCACGCCCAGCCTGGAGCCCGATGCGGGGCTTGATCGCACGACCCCTCACAACCCCGAGACCGTGACCTGAGCCGAATTCAAGAGTCGGACGTTTAACCGACTGAGCCACCCAGGCGCCCCTTAACCACGATGTTATGAACTCATTCAGGTGTGGGGGGAGCAAATATGTTTTTAAAAACTTGTCACGCGATAGAGTCCATCATGCAAAGTAATCGAGAACATGGTATACGTTTTAAGTATTTGAGTCGCCTATCCCGGTTGGGGTCTCAATCTTGGTTTGTTTTGTGAGGTGATGAATGGGAAGGTGAACTTGTTACCCCACAGTATCTTTTTTTTTTTTTTTTTAATAAATCACGAGGAGTGCAGTTTTTGAAGTTGGGTTTTTAATGATGGTAGTGAAGATGATACTGAGAATCTGAAACGGCCAGTGTGTTTTGTACTGCCAAAGTGCTTACTGAGGACTGGCCACATTGCTACCGATCAATTCAGAGAAAGCAGGAGAACATTTTTTTAGGGTGGTGCACAGAGTATTGAGCTCTTGAAAACCCTGAGAAAAACTAGAGATTTAGAAATTAAATGGGAAGTAGATATTCAGTTCTTAAAAAAAAAAAAGATGTCTAAATATGTGGTCTGAACTTGCTTAACCACCTCTGGGTTTGCCTGGACTCCCTCTGGAGAGAGAATTGGAAGATGTGGCAGTGGAGAAGCCCTAGTAAGAATGTGTCTGAGTTTTTGCAAGATGGCAGGAAGAAGGCCATCCTGCGCCCCACGCCATCCATACAACCTGGCATTTATAAACCGTCTGATCATATGCCTCAGGTAGAGAGCAAGTCAAGTAGTCTTTCAGAGACCAGGGTTTGCAAGCAGAGGAGAGGCTCAAAGCCACATTCGGCTGGAGGCAGTCCACTTGTACTCTCGAGGGCTGACCCGCGACCAGACATCTGCTCAGGAAGGAGGCCAGCTACTACGTGCGATTGCCTAAATGATAAGCTTTAGGTAGATTGTCTTGAATTTTTTTTAAATCTACGTTTTAGCCTCCCTAGAATATACTTATTGTGTATTAGAAAGAAAAAAAAGGTGAGGGCTTCTCAGATCAGAGCTCAGGGAACTGTGTAAACTTACAGGGAAATTTAATGCAATGGTCCCGTGGCGACCACTCCGGCTTTGCTCTGCCTCAGTTTCGGTTGTTCGCTCCAAGGAGAGAAGTTCTTGGAATAGTAGGTGTTAGCAACGTCACGTTACTCCACAAATGTTTGCTGGCCACAGTCTCACTTCTGAACATCTGGATCTGGGCAAAGTCTTGAAGCGATGTAGGGAACGAAATTGCTTTTTCCACTGCGTAGTCCGATTTTGCCAACTCACCCAAGAAAGAAAGTCTGTGATGTGCAGAGTTTGCGTTTCTTGGATGGGACCTATGAGGTCCCCCTGCCCAGTCCCACAGTCATAACTTCCTACCTCTCAGTTCCTGCCAAAGGGTCTTCAGCCTCTGTGTGCACTCACTGAATCAATGCCTTGCCTAAAGTTTGGCCTTTTATTATAAAGGGAGAAACAGCATATGATGGTATAAAAATATGAAGGTTTAAAAACAGTGATCTCTGCCTCTCCTTCTCTCTCCTCTTCCTCCGCCCATCCCCCAATTCCAATTTTTTCTCAGTTGTTAACAGGCATGTTGTCTTGAATGTGGACCTTGGGGGAGGGACAACGTCATTCTGAGAACAGAGAATGTAAGACACTTCTGAGCCGATGGGCCAGACAGGGCTTTGCTCCGCCGGCGGGGCCAAAGCCGGGGCGGGGCCAAAACCGGGGCGGGGCCAAAGCCGGGGCGGGGCGGGGAGGGTGGGGTTGTTGAGAGCGTTGAGGGCTTGAGCATCTCAAGGCAGGCAGATGAAGTGCTCGTTGCTAAATCTGATTATCTACTAGTCCAAATCTGTTGAAAGTCAAAGGCAGCCTAAGATTTGGTGAGTGAAATGCCATCTGGCCACATGGGGACAAGGGAGTGGCCTGAGATGGTTTTATCAGGGTGGGAATGTTCAGT